AGACTAGGATTTTGACCTTTGGTTCTAATACCACACCCACCAGAAACAGAGAGCATCCACAAGGTTCTCATTCACACCGTTTCCCACACACAGGCCTAGGACAGTGATGCCACTAGGTAAGTATTCAGCTGGGAGAAAGCCGGAGGGAGTGTCTCTCCACAGTAGGACCTCTGTGTCCCTCCAGGGCCTACGTGGTAGCTTAGAAGGGAAGGCTTTCCTGATTTTCACAAGCTTAAAAAAGACGCTCAATCTAGGGTTCATGTACACCACTAATTCGAACTTCACTCTTTTCCAGAAGTGACGCTAGGGAATTAAGTGATACTAGGAGGCACACGGTACACAGTGCAAGATAACGTGAACATGGCCCCTGCCCTCCAGGAGTTTAAGAATCCTGGTGGAAACTGGTATTCAACAAATACGTAAATAACGGCAGATCTGAAAAATTACTAAATAGGAAAGGCAGAGTGTGAGGGCGGTATATCACAGGGAGTGGGGCAGGTGGGGTGCACAACAGAGGTTCCCTGGAAGAACGCCTAGGACCTGGGACCGAATTACTGATTACTAAGAACACTTAGACCGAATATCAGATTAAACAGCAATACGCATTTCTGCTTACACAAGGCCTAAGTAGCCATTTTCATAACAGACAAAAGGTTTTTATGGCTTTTGACTTATTTCTTTTCTATTTTGACTTTAGATAAGAAAAGCTTATAGAGAACAAAAGTTCTAGAATTAAGTCATTTGTAAAACCTTTTGTATCAAAAATCAAAATAATTAAAAGAAAAAATATCAATTCTCAAATAGGTAATTTTTTTGAATCATTTGATTCAATAAATTAAAAATGAGTAACATAAACAACCTAAGTTACACAGAGAGAAATCCCATTTCCTCTACAGCATCAAAGTTTCTGGAATTTAACAACACTATCCTAGATTAGGCCTAATTCTTAAATCCATGGGTCAGTTATAAGATCTAAACTTCAAATAACTTTATCAGCATAGTCCTATTTGATTACTTGCTGAGAAAGAAAATGAACTTGGGTGAGGGTAAAGCTTGGCCTTCCCTAGAGAAAACAAGATGTGAGCGGGGACATTCAGTTGTAAAATTTCATATAAAGATTTCAAGACATGGTGCTGATTTTCCATATATCACTAATTTTCACTGCCTTTTAAATGAAGGTCATATGCAATGTATTTCCATACCTTAAATAATCTAATTAAGGCACAAAGTCTAAAAGCTTCATGGAAGCCAGCAGAAATGCCACATTTTGAATTCGAGTCATTACCATGGAGAGTATATTTCTATAAAACAATCTAGGAAATAATCAAATCTAGCTGCACATTGGAATCACCTGGGGTGCTGTCAGAAAGCACAGGCCAAGTACTAATCAGGTCCTAGTAGAATTGATCTCATAGAGGACTCAGCTCGCTCGCCACCACCCACCTTGCCCAGGAAATACTATATTAAAAAAACACGGTTTTGGACTAAGGTTGTAACCCGTTGGCAAGGGGTGGGGGTTGGAGGGGACAAACAACTCCACACGCTGAGCTGAATACTAACTTTCATTCAAGGAAAAACTTCCCTAATAACAATCATTGTACTGACCTCATCTCTCATTGAAAACTAAAAAGTTTTGGCAAAACTAAAAAGTTTGCAAATCACCAAACATCCTATTGCAAGCAGGACAAGAGGCCAAAAGCAAATGATATTCTTCTTCTGTGATTTGCCATGATATACACTAGAAATTAGGTATTGGCTATCACAGGTTGAAATTGGACTATCTTGCAAAAAAAGTTTATTTCTACTCATTTTCGTTTCTGTCATACTTTCCATTATAAATCGCATTTTCTCTGCCAATAAAAGTAGAATGAGGTTGCAATTTGGCAAGAAAGTTTTAAGCCTGGGTGTGACTTCCGTACCCAAATTTGATTCAAACCAGTTTTCTCGTATTTAGTGAGAACTTTTAAAAGTCTTTTGTTTGGTCGCTTTTATTTGTCTTTTTGGTTCATTTTCTACAAGATTTCAAAAGTCTCAAAAAAGTCATCAAGTTTATGCCTGATAATTTCATATCAGAATGCATTAATGAATGTATATCATTACTTACATTTTTAATGAAAACAACTTAGTTGACGATCATGAACCTACAAGCATTTGTTTTTCCGCTAAAATATCCATTTTTTAAAAAGTCATGCATGAGCCTAGCACTATCAACATTAAATCCACAAGAGAAACATAATGAACATATGCGTATTTATACACATTTTAACCCGATGCACTTTTCCGATCATTCGTATCTCACAGTAACAATCAATTTCTCCACACAGCCTTTCTCTACCTGTTGCTTACCACCACTGATTGTCTGCACCCAACAAAACGCCCTTGGGACTGAAATCAGCATGTCCCATGCAACCCTGCTCATCCCTGTAAGTCCACGGGGACACACTATTATCACACAAAAAAAGCAGCCCTGGAGCTCCTTAGAGCCCACTGGCCAAAAGTTTTAGTCCAGCATCTCAATAAAGTAGCAAACAGGAGAAAACAAAAGCTGTCCCCATGAGAGTCACTCACCTGGTCACACAGTAGGGAACCATTTCAGCTGTGATCAGCTATTTAGATTCCAAGCCCAAGATACCAGAGACTGTGCCTTTCTTTTTGGTTTGTGTGGCTGGTGTGGTAGACTGGGATTCAAAGAACAAAAACAGCTCAAGAGAGTCCCTAGAAGACAACCTATGGTCTGCTCTACTCCCAAATTTCACAGAAAGCAGAAATTCATACCATGTACGCTCCTCGCCTCCAGGCCCTAGTTCCCCAGGCAGGGAATTTCCAGTGTTTCTCTTTTAGGCATCCACACTGTTTATGGAGAGTGCTGAGACCCAGCACTCTCAGGGATAGTCAGTTCCTGCAAGACTCCCAACCATGAAGCAGAAATAAGAAGGAAGGAATCTGCACACTCCCCAGCTAGAGAGAGGAGGAAGGCTTTTTAAGAAAAGCAGATGCAGTCTTATTCCCCATACACAAAAGAATTCTCCTGGACAAGGAGGTCTCAAAAGGAACCTCCCAAGGCCCAGAAATTCAGGCATCGGACGGCAGGCAGGCAGCCAGCCACCTTGATTCCCCCCTCTGCCCCTCTCCACTTCTCACCTTGTGTTTGCAAAAAAAATTAAGCTCAGTTTCACCCGAGGGAAGTATTCCCCACCAACGGAGGAGGGTCTGTGTTCTGCACACACAGACAGACTCACACGGTCTGGATGATGCTTTCACAAGTTAAGGGGCCTCACGCTTACTCAGCAGAGGAAATCTTTGTGTCTGTGAGGAATCACGCCAATTCCCATTAGTAAGAAAGGATCCAGGGGCGAGGAAGCCTATTCTCTCAATGACCAGCCAAAGGGGCCCAGCGAAAACAGAGACCTCTGCCATGACCATCTGCAAAAAGGAAGGATGTTGTCAACTTTCTTCTCCCCAAAACTCTAGTGACCTCCGCCTTGACCCTCAGAAACCAGATCCACAGGAACCGGCTCTTCTGCAGGAATCAGAGAGCTTTACACCAGAGACCCAGCCCTGAGAGGCTTGTCGCCCAGGCTATCTGCCCCGAACATGTGCACTCACATTCCAAAGATGTTTCCGCTGCGCTGGAATGGCTGTAAATTTCTTTCCTGCAGAATTCTTTCCAAATAAACTGCCCTGGACTGCACTCCGGCAGGAGTTCTACCCAAGCACTGTTCACCTCACCGCAACAAATCTTTTAGATGCCAAATGTGACTGAATTGGCAACTGGGCCAAAGGAGTCAACTTTAAAAATGCAAATGTATACAGGGAGAAGGGAAAAAAAAAAAGAAAACCCAACCCACCAGAATTCCACCTTTCATGATAGATGCCTGGTACACAAATGATCCTTCCTTCAGACACTCTATTTCATTACTAAAGCGCATGTGTTCTTACATTTCTCAGGGATACATTAAACAGGTTGTTTAAAAAACCCAAATGGATTTTCTCCCCCATATCATTAAAGAAACTGGGAGGGTGAGAGAGTTCAAAAGACTAAGCATCCCTTTTCCAGTATAGAAAGAACGAACCTTCTGTTTGGGTGAATTAAAAAAAAAAAAAAAAAAACAGTAGAGAGCTTTGAATATGAAAGAGTATCAACAAATTCTACCAGAGTTCTCCAAAGTAAGTGACTAATACCTCCTTTTTATAAAAATTAAATATATGATCGATACTGATACTGAAATGAAAAAGAAAGCATCTATAAAAATCCCAATTGTCTCGAAACGAACCTTCCTCTTCAGCCTTGGTATAGTATTTTTAGAAATGGGCTCTCTCCAGAGAGTTAGAAGTACACAAACGCAGAGTGCAACGGGCACACGCACGCACACTACACCTTTGAATCACACTGGCATTTTATTATTTAACTAAAGTGCTCCTATTTTTCTAGCTCACGCATGCTTCCCCTGAGACGGCTTTGCTGTTAGCCTGCTGGCCTTGACTTCCAGCCAAAAACAATTCAGAAACAAAAAGGGACAACAAATCATATTTTCACAGACATTTTTATCCCTCAGTACCACCCTGTTTTCACACAACATCATACAGTCCCTAGGAAAACTATAATTTAGGGCACTAGCCACCCGAACCCAGGGTCTGACACATGGTTCCATGAAGCATTTCCTGTGCGAGAAATTCTCAAGTTCTTAATTGCAAATAAACTCTTTTGATAGAACCACTCTGACCACATTGCTGGTTTGGCAAACAGTGCCATGGTGCAGGCTGATGGATTAAAAAATAAAAACAAGCCAGTGGACGAAGTCCTGATACGGCAGAGGTCTAAGGATGAGGTGCTTCTCAGTTCTAAGCTCTGAATTCTTGCAAGACTTACACACAGTCACCAGCAGACTTTCAGTGCCTCTTCAGTGTCACAGTTGAAAACGCGAAATCGAATTTACCAAGCACGCTGATATCCCCAGGTTAATCCTCCACACCCTTCCCCAGCCCAGAGTCACACTTACCTGGTGGCAACCCTGTAAGTTTGATTCTCTCCCATAAGATGAGTATGAGCCCCTTTCTGTTTTACCTGCCAAGAGAAACAACAACAAAAAAAAAAGAGTATAAATCGTGCTTTTCCTTTAAAAAACAAATCTCCTGCAGGTAACAGACATCTACTTCTCTTCCCCGATGTTTACATACGTAAAGTAGGCACTACTGGCAATGTGTGCAAGCAAGAGAGGGATAACACGTCCTCACTCTGGCGATGATAAACTGGAAAAAAAATATCCTTCATTCCTATTCTTAGCCAAACTGCTCCACACTTCCAAAAACTGTCATTCCAATGGCCTCCACTTTCTCTAACAAACAAATTGTCATTCCTTATTTTCACTTTCTTTCTCTCTCACAAAATTTAAACAATTTCATTTTTATTTACACAGCAGGCAAATTATCTATGTAATGACCCTGGCCTAGTCATTCCCATTGATTATATTGACACTTAATGGTGAGGCCAAAGCTAATCAATCACAGGCTCTCCAGATGGTGAGTTTAGCAAAGAAACTATTCAAAATTCTGAGTCTCTCTGTCCTTCTCCCTCCCTCCCTCCCTCCCTCTCTCCC